TTTACTTAGCAGGTAAGGAAAGGTGGAAAAGTTAGTTTTTAATTTTGACCCTGAAAACGCGCCATAGTTTTCATGAGCCTGGGCACAAAGAGTTTACAGTAACTTGGAATGCATTCTTGTAATAAGTATCAAATAACGCTAAAATGGGACATTTTCAATGCCTCGCTGCCCCTTAACGAGCATGGCACCCTCCTTTTTTATTTTGTAATTAAAGTTCTCAAATGATAAATATTCAGTAGACAAATTTTTAACAAAAATCTATTGGCAGTTTTATTTCGGGGGAATTACCTTAAGTATTTTTTACGCGACGGAATGTTATTTTTGCCACAAACCAAGAGCCTATATGTAGTTTTCAATAGTTTAAAGATTTCAGCTGAAGCAATTCTATTCATGGTGGAACAGCTCTTTGATAACCGATTAAGGTCATTCCCCCGAAAAAGAATGCACAAAAGATTTTCATTCAAATTTTGCCTGTTGGCTGCTTACATCAAGAGAACTTAAATTTTGAAATAAAAAGGGGGGTCCCCATATTCGGTTAGGAGCAGGACGACCCTCAATAAACTCCATAATTCCTTAAATTGTCTGCTTTTAGAAACGTTTACATTTAAACCACACACTTTACGCCTTGTGAGAGCAGAAAAATGGGGAGAAAGTTAAGCGAGAAATACAACAATAGATGTACTGCATCAATGTTAAGGAGCGATTTGATGTACGTTTCATGATAAAGGTACCTATATTTAGTCGACAGGGATTCAATATGTTCCAAGCACGCAGTGTTCTTGAGGGCACATCTTACTGTTTACGAGTGCTTGCTATGCTCTCATTTTCAGTGATAATTTGTTACTCTGCAATAGCAACTGGTCTATATTCACTGTATAGAAAGAAGGTGATCGCTGCAATCAAACTAAGTAAAAAAAATCCATAGGTCCCCGCACTCTCTTGTCTCTCGTAACCCGAACCGTTTAAAAAAAAAGCCACCATTTTGTATGTGCACGCTCTTACGAGAGCGCTAATGACGCGAAAATCGTGCGCAGTAGGAATGCGCAATGCAATTCTGAGGAATAACCTTAAACTAAGCCAGAAATGTATTGGGGATGTAAAAAGAGAAAGCTGCTTAAGGTTATTTTGCGATGGTTTTATCTGCTCCACTATATATTTTTTTAACATCCACTTTTTAATAGCAAAAGGTCATGCATGGCAGATTTATATTCAAAGTTATGCAGCCAAAAACGTTTCCCATAACAATCATTTTGGGGTGACCTGCATTGTATAAAGGTTCTTTATACTGGCCAAACGAAACAATAGGTAAACAATAAAATGCCCCTAGACTTAAAAACAAAACAGATGCCAATTGACAAGAACGAATTAAAGTTGGGGTCTTAAAGTGGTGTAGATCAACCGACAAACAAACCAAGACACGCACGTGTGCTCACTCATCTTGACAAGCATAAGCTATTTATTTTGAAGCGTTTGTTCAGAAAACGCACTCATCTGGGCTACTTTTCTTGCCTGCTGAAGGAGGAGGCAGTAATGCGGAAATGTCGGTAGTTTTATCTTTCCCAAGCTCAGATGCCAAAATTTTTTTTCCATGCCAGCAATTTCAGTCAGATCTTTTCCTCCCCTACCTTCCCGTTCCTCGAATAGAAGCCCATACGATTTCCAGTCCAATCGGCATTTGAACATATTACGTGGGCTTTCCGATTTTTCCCCATTAAGTTGTAGCATGCTCAGTTCTTCAATGAGGTATTTTTTTTAACAAGCGACATCTGATTTGAGATTGGTTATTGTTTTGCAGTATTTCTTACAATCAATCTACAAAAAACATATTACGTACATATTAACTAAGAGACTTTATTTTATGAGGGTGACACGTAATAGTGACTAACATTACTGACGAACTTGTGTTCCTCAAAAATATAAAGATACAAATAATAAAAGCTACATTAGCAGTAGATATTATTAACAACAGAAATACAAATAAAGACATTTCTAAAATTTGATAACGGGACAAATCGATTTAAAACGAAGAGCACGCAAACATCTATCTATTGTCATTAATTTATATCAAACGATCCTTCTGTCTTCTGAGAATTTAGCACTATTTTCCATAATTCAGCCTTAAGGATATTAGCAACAAGAACACAGAAACAATTTATTTTCAATAAATGAATTTATTTGCCGCCAAATAAAAGTGTTTATGACTCCTACCCACTTTTATTAATTATTAAATGTAACTATCACAGTTTAACAGCTAAGGTAAGCTAGGGAGGAATGGCAGTGAGCAGGGTTCAACCGGAGGGGGATGAAGTGTAATTTGTGCAACGTAACAAAAGGATTGAGTAATAGTCACGAGACTATCTGATGACCTAACTAACA